CACCTCCACCCCCACCCCCTCCACTGCCTCCACCACCACCTCCACCGCCCCCGCCAGCCCCTCCAACGCCCTTGCCCCCCTTGCCCTTGCCGGTGCGGCGTCTCCCGCTCGGGGCAGACGCAGCGCCGACCAACTCGAAACCAACGAGGTCGGCCGCAGCAGCAGAGGCAACAGAGGGCAAGAGGGGGGAGGGAGAACACCCCTCAAAGACGGGGGTGCGAGGGTCACCACGAGAGGCTCCTACAGCGACTATGCTCTTCTCTGCTGCTAGGAGGCTCTGCTCGAGGAGGTCAACGGTGAGAGTGGTGGGGCAAACTGAGAGGAAGTGGTCCCTAACTACACGGAGAGAGTCAGGGAGCCGGGTGACTATGTAGTAGAGGGTGATGTACATGGGGGGGGGGTTCTTGGCGCAGAACTCAGCAGGAAGCGCAGCGCGGTAGCGAGTGTTAGAGCTCAAACTGCCAGTCCTCAAGGACGTCACTGCTAAGGGCAGGCTCACCCTTGATGGACGGAGGAGAAACAGACTCAAACCTAGTAACAAGACTCGCGATGTAGTCGAGACGACTCCTTGCTGCAAATTCGACGAGCTCAGTGACTAGGGCAAACGCAGCAGTGGACTCAAAGTCAGAGTCAGTGACGACAGTAGCGAGGAGACGAGTGACAGTAGGACTGGCAGCATGAGCAAGGTTGTACTCAGGGTCAGGTACACATGGAAGAGAGGACGCGGGAGGCCCACGAAGGACAACACGCTGTGGAACAGAGGAAGGACGAAGTGCCATACGGTGAGTGCGTGGGACAGGAGGAGGACAAGCACGGGCGATACAACGAGCACAAAGAGGTGTGGAAGCACGAGTCTCAGGCTCACGACGTTCAGCACCAGCAGCTCCTCCAGCACCCGCAGCTCTAGCACCTCCAGCACCCGTAGCTCCAGCACCTCCAGCACCACCATGTCCAGCATAACTTATAGTAGTTACTCTAGTACCACCAGCTCCAGCACCTGCAGCACCTCCAGCAGTACCTCCATCACCAGCAGCTCCAGCGTCTAGGTAACTCCAAGCTCTAGCACCGGAGTGGCCTCGCCAAACAACCCACTCACGAAGCTGCTGCGGTGAGGGTGTCTCGAGTCGACTAGGTGGCTGCTGCTGTCCAACACCAGGACCTGCACTCACGGCCCCTCCACCACTAGGACTCGCAGTACCCGCAGTCTAAGCACCCCCAGAACCAGTACCCCCAGTCTCAGCAACCCCAGTCTCAGCACCCCCAGGACCAGCACCTCCTGCGTCCTCACCCCCAGTGTCACCACCCCCAGCAGCACCAGTGTCCACAGCTACAGGCTGCAGAGGTGGTGAAGACGGTTGAGGTGGAAGCCCGGGAGGGATCTCCAAGCGTGGAGAGCGACGAGTGGCCACCATGTCGTCAGCGACAAGGTCACCCCCCTCAGCTGGGCCAAAGGAGTCAGAAGAGATTTCCAAAGGCTCAGCCAAGGAGGGTGGGTCTACCTGAGACACACCTGAGGGAGCAGGACCCTGTGGGGGAAGGGGGTATACCGGGGGGGGGGGGGGGACTGGTACCAGGAAGAGAGGCGCCAGGGGGACCGGGTGGGACGCGTGCGGGTGGAGCCTGTAGAAACAGACTGACTCGTCAAAGGTTATGTCTTGGGAGGAGAACACGCGCCACGAGCGAGGGTAGTAAAACTGCCATGGCAGGGCGTCAGTGGGGAAGCCCAGGAAGGCGCAGCGGAGAGTGCGAGGAGAGAGCTTGCTCGCGGTGGTATCGCGAACAAGGGAGAGGCACCCATTCCCACGCACGTAAGTAAGGGATGTTGATTACAGAAATGATTTCATGTAATTCAATCAGTTGATTTTATCTGGGAAGGTGTGCATTTAGTAGTTCTTGATTAGTGAGAGATCGTCAAAGGTTGACTTTGGGGGCAAGAGAATAGATTGACTTTGGGAGTCAAGCTGATAGTGAGTCAGCAGCTGCTAGCGCCACGACTTTCTGAGGGACGCGATTGGCAGCTGCTCAAGTGTTTTGAGCGAGCAAACTACTCAAGCTATGGTGCTTCTCTACTGCTGTGATTGGCTGCCGTTCGCGCGGGATGTACGTGGGCTCGAGCAAGCAACTGCTCGAGCTGCCAGGTTCAAAAAACTCTGATTGGTCGCTGCTCAAGCAGTGTGTTCATTTTCGTTAATGAGCGAGCAGCTGTTCGCGCTTTGTGTGGAGTAACGCGAGTGTTATTAGCTTGCAAATTGTCAGTTGTGCTAGTGGCAAGACCAACGCAGTGGTCGAAGCGTTGTTTTGGTTACTCACGTTATGAGCAGTTCGGATCAAAGGTGTTCACGCCTCGAAAGCGAGGCACGCATGGCAAGCACCATTTGGGTGTTGTTCGAGTTGCTGATCAAGATATTGTTCGAATTGATCGCCACCAACATCTTCTGACGTGGAGGATTTGCATGGGATTCATCATAACCGTTCACAGAGGGCGCGAAGTGAAAAGTTCGAATTGGCACTGTCGGAACGCTTCACGCGCTATTTTCAAAATGTTTCGGCGACGCGCGTGCCAGGTCAGGAAAGAATTTGAGGGAAATTCGACATGTGCTCGTGCTACGTGAATTGAAACAGGGAATGTAGAACAAGATAGGAAAAGGCTAGAATAGACTAGGCTAGGTATAAATCTGTTTGTCTTTACTGGTTTACAACACAACTTGAGTAAAGAATTTCTCTTGTGCTTGCTACAAGTACGAGGCCACAGCTCACTAGTTTTGACAACGCCAAGGAAACGACGACTGCTAGTGCACTTCAGCTGTTACTACAACTCTCTCTCTCTCTCTGCATGCTCGGACCCTTGGATAGGGGCTGGCCTTGATTAGGCACCCAAGGACCCTCGGAGGTGACCCCGAGGAGAGATTTCTAGTGCACCTAAAGATCGTTAGTAGCTACTTTAGTTTGTTTCAATCATAACAAGTGGTATGCTGTTAGAACGCAATGGGTGCGAATGAAGGAGAAGGGTCCTCAAGCCAAGAAAGCAGTGGAGCAACCAAGAAAACAAGGAGAACCAGCCAGGGGGCACATGACACATCATGCACATCCCAAGCGGATCACAACTTGTTTCTGCTTGGAGAAGGGGAGCAGCTGCTTTTGCTGCTGGTGTATGTCGATGACATACTGCTGTTCTCACCTTCCATGGAGCAGATTGAGAGGACACAAAAGCTGCTGATGGACAACTTCAAGTGCAAGATGCTGGGGGATGTCCACTACTACTTGGGGCTGCAGATTGAGAGGGATGTTGCGAGGAGTTGGCTGAAGGTGCATCAGTCACACTACATCTCTGGTGTCATGGAGCGGTATGGTGTGATTGGGGGTCGCACTGTGATGACACCGTTCCCTGCGGGCTTCAAACTGAAGAAGGCAGCTGAGGAGGATGATGTACTCAAGGATGAGCAGCAGAATGAGTACCAGTCACTCATTGGGAGTGTGATGTATGCAGTTGTGCAAACGCAACCTGATGTTTCATTCGGAGTGGGGCAGCTGGCCAAAGTTGTGCAGCGGCCCACTGAGGAGCAGTTGGAGGTGGCAAAGCGCTTGGTGAGCTACCTTGGATCAACGGCATCTGCTGGTGTTCAGTTTTCAGCTGGCGGCCAGCTGAAACAAATTGGAGCAGGTGGGGTCACGCCTGGAACCTTGAAGCTGTCGTGCTTCACCGACGCTACGTGGGCCTCAAAGGAGGAGGATCAGTCATCAGTTGGCGGCTTTGTCTGCATGGTTGGAGGTGGACCAGGGAGTTGGAGGTCTAAGAAGCAGAGCGAGATTGCTCAGTCTTTCGGAGAGGCAGAGTACATGGCAATGTACTATGCCATCAAGGAGATCGTGCTCCTGAGGAAGCTGCTGGAGGACATGGGAGCTGAACAGGAGGGACCTACACCACTTTTCTCCGACGGCGAGGCTGCTATTGGCATGGCCAATAATCCTATCCTGAATGGGCTGAACAAGCACATAAAGATCAAGTGGCACTGGGTGAGGCAGATGGTGAAGGAGGGGATTGTTGAGCTTCACCATGTGAAGGCTACGAAGCAGGCGGCAGATTTTCTCACCAAGAGACTTCTCGAGAGCGCACATTGGAAGTGTGCTACAATGTGTGGCATGGCATTGCACTAGTGTGGGCAGCAGTGTCATGAGTGCATGTGTGATTGTGTGTATGAGAGTTTGCATGTGTGTGAGTGTGTGTGCATGCAGTCCGTTAGTATGAGGGGGAGTTTGTTGGATGCACGTCATTCTGAGTGCATGTCATCCTAACGTCCTGCCGAGTGCTCGTGCTATTCATGCGTGCATTGTTTGCATGAGCATATGTCATTGTGCATGACTGTTTGATATTATCATCTCTGTGTTTTTCTCCAAGTTTAAATGCTTGATCATGCAGGAGAAATCCAGAGCTTTCCAATGATACCAAGATCGCCTTGTTCCGACCAAGATCGCCCAAGTTACAAGATTTCCAAGACTTGGATTTCTTATTACCTTTTAAGGTTACATCTAATTTGGGTGATTACTTGGGACATGACTATAAGGCTGGGTGGTTAGGGAAGGCAACTTTGACTTTTGGATTGGGGTGGCTAGAAGTTTCTAGCATGGGTTGCAAATGTTGCAACACCTAGGCAAAATCCAACTAGATTGGATTTCGCATGTGACACCTCAAGGACCTCATGATGAGGGTTGCATCCTTGCTGCTAGAAAGGTTCCTACCATCCTTCCCTAGCTCTTGGAGAACCCCTTCCCCCTCATGGCTCTCTTGGAGTCCCCAACTCCAACATTCTATGCCTTAATGCATGTACTTCCTCCACCATTCTAGTCATGCGGCTGCTGGACGTTTTTACTTGGTTTTCATTGTATAGACCATCTTAACAACTGATTCAACTTGGAGATGGTAGTTAAGCCTTAGGCGCACAATCCTACCGAGCGGATTTACGTTTAGTTGAGTAATGAGTTTGTCGTAAGCTCTCAAAATGATGGATCCTGAACAACAACATATGGGGGTGCTGAGCCTGTCCGTGAGGTGCTGGGGGGTGCTGCGTCTGGGGGTGCTGAGCCTGTGCATGCGATGGTGGGGGGTGCAGAGCCTCAAGGTGCTGAGCCTGGGGGTGCTGAGCCTACGAGTGCGGAGCCTTGGGGTGCTGAGCCCGAGGGTGCCGGGTCTGGGGGTGCTGAGTCTGCTGGTGTTTCTCCGGGTTGCTTTCCACGACGGAGGCCTCTCTCACCACAGCAGCTATGAGAGTGGCTTGCGTGGCGTGCCTGCCTCAGGAGTCGTGCAGCTGGAGCTGGAGGTCCTGCTGCTGGAGGTACTGCTGCTCGAGATACTGCAGTTGGAGCTGCTGGAGATGCTCGTCGTGGAGGCGCTGAGGGTGCTGATGTTTATGGTTTTGGAGGTGCTCGTACTGGAGGTACTAGAGCTGCCAGGCCTGGTGGTACTGCTGGAGCTGGAGGTGCTGGTTCTGGGGGTGTTACTGCTAGAGGCGCTGGAGCTGGTGCTGTTGACCCTGGAGTTGGAGACCCTGGAGCTGGAGGTGCTGGTGCTGGAGACACTGGAGCTGGAGACCTTGGAGCTGGAGGTGCTGGAGCTGGAGGCGTTGGAGCTGGAGGCGTTGGAACTGGAGGCGCTGGAGTTGGAGGCTCTGGCAGAGGAGGCGTCAAGGCTGGTGGCCCTAGAGCTGGAGCTGCTTGTCATAGAGGTGCTGGTCTTGGAGGTACTGGAGCTGCCAGAGCTGGAGGCACTGCAGGCGCTGGAGCTGGAGGACCTGGCGCTTGATGTTCCGGAGCTGGAGGTTCTGGAGCTGCTGGTAGTGCTGAAGCTGCTGGTCCGGGAGGTGCTAGTACTGGAAGTCCTGGCGCTGCTGGAGCTGGTGGCGCTGCTGGTGCTGGAGGTATTGGTGGTGCTATATAGCAACGACTATTCTTCGCTCCACCGTCACCATCGTCTCTGCCGCCGCTTGACTCGGCGCTTCGCCAGGTTCCTAGCCTTCCGTCCTCTAGTGGTCTACTGTTACAGCCTGGCTCCTCACTGCCTGCTCCCTCTCCTTACACTGAGTAGACAGGAGGTCTTACTGAGCGTCGTGAGCCTGCGTCTCGTCCTGCCTTGCCTGTTCCCGCTGGTCGCACTGGTCGTCATATTCCTCGTGAGCGTCCTCCTCCTTTCCCCGGCACGCACACTATGGCACTTTGTCCTTCCCCTGTTCCGTAGTGTGTCCCCCTGCCGTCTCCTCCTACGTCCTCTCTTCCGCACATTCCGGACCCTGAGTCTGACTTAGCTCGTTCTGCCAGCCCTATTGTCACCCGTCTTTTGGCCACTGCTGTAACTGACCCTTCGTTTGAGTCTGCTGTTGCGTCTGCCCTAGTTGCTGAGCTTGTCGACTTTGCTGCTTTCTTTCGTCTAGACTACGCCACTAGTCTTGTTGCTGAGTCTGAGTCTGTCTGTCCTCCGTCCGTCACGGGTGAGTGTGCTCTTGACACGGACGTCCTTGAGGACAGGCAAGAGGACTTTGAGTGATTTGCAGCTGCTGTACCTCATCTCGTGTCCATGCTGATTGCACCTGAGGAAGACCGAGATGCACCAGAAATCCCGACCCCGCGCTCTTACGCAGAGGCAATTGAGGGTCCCTACTCCTTTCATTGGTAGACAGCCATGGACGCAGAGATGGCATCCTAGAAGTCCACTGGCACTTACGTCGATGCTTGACCCCCACCTGGGGCGAACATCGTCAGTGACATGTGAACTTTCAAGTGAAGCGGTCGCCGGGTTCTCCGCCTGTCTTCAAGGTGCGTTACGTTGCACGAGGCTTCAGTCTGAGACAAGGAGTTGACTTCTTCCAGACCTTCTCCCCTACCCCAAAGATGACCACTCTTTGGGCTATGCTGCACATTGCTGCTCAGCGCGACTACGAGCTTCACTCTCTTGACTTCAGCACAGCTTTCCTGCAGGGCAGCCTGCACGAGAAGATTTTGCTGCGCCGCCCACCTGGCTTCACTGGGTCGTTTCCTGCAGGTACCCAGTCGAGCTTCTGACAACCAATCTACGGTCTCCGTCAGGCGCCTTGCAAGTGGCACGACACACTGAGGATGACGCTTGCGGCTCTTGGGTTTGCTCCTTCGCCTGCTGACCCGTTGTTGTTTCTGCGCACCGACACTTTGCTGCCGCCGTTCTACATCCTCGTGTACGTCGGCGACTTGGTCTTTGCCACTGCTGACATTGAGGGACTCGCCCACATGAAGTCGGAGCTGCAGAAGAGACACACGTGCATACACCTGGGTGAGCCGCGCAACTATCTTGGCTTGCAGATCACCTGGGACAGAGCACGGTGCACCATTACCGTTACTCAGTCACACATGGTGCAGCTGTCAGATTTGTATGACATAGATGTTGTAGGCTATAGTGGGGTAGCACATATGGGGTACAGCTTTCTAAGGTTGTATTTGTACCCAACTTTCACTTAGTCATTTCATTCTCGTTTCAGTTTTCTCATGGTATCGAGAAGGTTCCCTAGTGGGAACTGTGCCTAGGGCCCACCAAGTCGAAGTTTTTTTTTCCTGCCCGGAGCGCGCTCAACCCGAGTCGCGCTCCTCTCTCTCATCTCGTCGAGCCGCCCTAGCAACTGCGTCGCGCCGCCCTAGCGGCCCCGTCGCCCTAGCGGCCCCATCGCCCTAGCGGCCCCGACGCCTAGCCCTACGGCCTCGTCGCCTAGCCCTACGGCCCCGGTGCCGCCCTGTCCCGGCCCCCCCGCCCTTCGCTGCGGCCCCACTGCCCTTCGCTGCGGCCCCGCCGCCCTTCACTACGGCCCCGCCGCCCTTCGCTGCGGCCCCGCCACCCTTCGCTGCGGCCCTGCCGCCCTTCACTGCGGCCCCGCCGCCCTTCACTTCGACCCCGCCGCCCTTCACTGCGGCCACGCCACCCTTCGCTGCGGCCCCGGCGCCCTTCGCTGCGGCCCCGCCGTCCTTTGCTGCGGCCCTGCCGCCCTTCTCTGCGGCCCCGCCGCCCTTCGCTGCGGCCCCGACGCCTCTCTCGCTGCGGCCCCGCCGCCTACCTTGCGGCCCCGCCGTCCTTCGCTGCGGCCCCGCCGCCCCTCTCACTACGGGCCCGCCGCCCCTCTCGCTACGGCCCCGCCGCCCCTCTCGCTGCGGCCCCGCCACCTACCTTGCGGCCCAGCCGCCCTTCGCTGCAGCCCCGCCGCCCCTCTCGCTGCGGCCCCGCCACCTACCTTGCGGCCCCGCTGCCCTACCAACGGCCCTGACGCCCTACGCAACTGAGCCGCCCGCACCGCTAAGCAGCCCGAACCGCCCGTTTCGCCCGAGCCGCCCGAGCCGCCCGAGCCGCCTGAGCTGCTGGGGAGCCGAGCCGCTGGTGCCGCAGAGCCGCAGTTGCTGCTGAGCCGTCCGAGTCGCCCGAGCCGCCGTGTTGCCGAGCTGCTGTACTGCCGAGCTGCCCAAACCGCCCTGTCTGGTGAGAGCAGCGCTTCTGTCACGGCACTGCCCCTGTCCTACAGTTAGCGCTGCTAGTCTCCTGCTGTCATGGCTACCCCCAGTGTTCTCGCTTTTGACGCTGAGGGTCGGGCCATTGACTTTGAGGTCTGGGTAGATGACCTGCAGCTTTTCCTACAGTGCGATAGGGCAGACGGTCTCTCCCTCTTTGACCTCACCTCTGGTGCCTCTCCTGCCCCAGCTGCCGATGCCGACGCCACTGTTCACTCCCAGTGGGCCACTCGCGATGCTGCTGCACGTCTTGCTGTGCGTCGCCACCTGCCTACCACTGAGCGCGCACACTTTAGTCAGTACAAGAGTGCTCAGACCTTGTACGACGCCGTAGTTGCGCGCTACTCTTCCCCTGCCACTGCTGCATTGAGCCGCCTCATGCTACCGTACCTCTTCCCTGACCTTGCTGCCTTTCCCACTCTCGCTGACCTCATTACGCACCTCCGCACTAGTGACACTCGCTACCGCGCTGCGCTTCCTGCTGAGTTCTGCGCCAAGAACCCCCCCACCATGTACATCACTCTCTATTATGTAGTCACCCGCCTCCCTGACTCCCTTCGTGTAGTCAAGGACCACTTCCTCTCAGTCTGTCCCACCACTCTCACTGTTGACCTCTTAGAGAAGGCCCTCCTAGTAGCGGAGAAGAGCATAGTCGCTGTAGGAGCCTCTCGTGGTGACCCTCGCACCCCCATCTTTGAGGGGTGTGGTCCTTCCCCCCTGCTGCCCTCTGTCGCCTCTTCTGCTGCGGCCGACCTCGTTGGTCTTGAGTCGGTCGGTGCAGCGTCTGCCCCTAGCGGGCGACGCCGCTCTGGCAAGGGCAAGGGGGGCAAGGGTGCGGGAGGAGCTAGCGGGGGTGGTGGAGGTGGCGGTGGAGGTGGTGGAGGGAGTGGGGGTGGAGGTGGGAGTGGTGGTGGGGGTGGCGGTGTCGGTGGCAGCAGTGGAGGCGGAGGCGGCAGAGGCGGTAGCGGTGGGAGCGGAGGCGGCGGTGGTGGCGGAGGTGGAGGAGGCGGTGGTGGAGGAGGTGGAGCTGGTCGAGGTGGCGCTTCGCAGCGGAGCGGCTCCGGTGGTGGTCAGCGCCAGCAGCAGCAGCGTTCTCGGGACATCCCCCCCCCCTCAGCAACTCCGTGAGTGGTACGCGCAGCGTCAGCGTGGTGGGGGTTTTGGTCCGTGCACCTAAGTCCTTCGCACCGGCGACGGCGCGGGTGAGCAGTGTGGGGGTGCTCACCCGACCCAGCGCTGCTTTGGCCGCCTGACGGACGGTTGGCGTCAGCAGTTCCCGGAGGCTACTAAGATCCCCTGCTGGGGAGAGCTGTCTAGGGCAGGTGTAGCTATCTATGATCTTGACTTGGATGCTATCCTTGCTGCCATGTATGCTGTGACTATTAGTGATGAGGGTGACTGTTACAGGTGTTTCCCGCCCGACCCGGGCATTGAGACTGTTGCTCTAGGTGCTGGTGAGGCTGCTGCTCTAGGTGCCAGTGCGTCTGCGTCCTCAGGTGCTGGTGAGTCTGCGCTCTCAGGTACCGCGTCGGCTTCGGCCTCCCTCACCTTCACACTTGACTCCCGTGTCCGGCTGCCCTCCCGTGTCCGGCTGCCCCCTCTGGCACCTTGTCTGGTCTTTACCTCCCCTCGTTCTCTACAAACTTGGTGATTGGTGCTGACCTACAGGATGCGGGGGTTCACCAGTTTACTCCTGCGAGTCAGCGGGTGACCCACTGCTCGGACGCTTGCATACGCAGGCACCTGGCCACGTTTACGCGTCGGCCGGGGTCGAGCCTCTACACCCTGACCACTGAGTCTCCTTCTGTCCCTGCGTCTGGCCAGGTAGCTGCGTCGGGTCAGGTGTTTGCTGCAGCGTCCAGGTCTGGTCCTAAGTCTGCTCCCTGCTCGTGTCGCCTCCTGTCTCACGAGTCTCTCCTGTGGTACCACCGTCTTGGTCACCCCTCCCTGCCTCGTCTGTGAGGCATGGCTTCCCGTGTCCTTGTCTCTGGTCTTCCTCGGTCCCTCCCTCCCCTTCTTCCGGGGCCTGGTCCTTCCTACGTCCCCTGTGTTGACGGGCGGCTCCGGGCTGCCCCTCACTCCTCTCAGTTTCCCCCGACAGAGGCCCCGCTGCAAACGCTTCACATGGACGTGTGGGGCCCGGCCCGCGTCCGTGGACAGGGTCACGAGCGCTACTTTGTGCTGGTGGTTGACGACTACTCGCGTTACACCACAGTCTTCCCCTTGCGCAGCAAGGGCGATGTCACTGAGGTGTTGATCGACTGGATCTGCGCAGCTCGTCTCCAACTCAGGAGGAGCTTCGGCTCGGACATTCCTGTTTTGCGTCTGCACTCTGATCGAGGCGGAGAGTTCTCCTCTGGCCTTCTGCGAGCCTACTGCCGTGCGCAAGGCATCTGCCAGACCTTTACGCTTTCGGACTCTCCACAGAAAAATGGGATTGCTGAGCGCCGCATTCGCATAGTCATGGACGTCGCTCGTACGTCCATGATGCATGCGGTTGCCCCCCATTTTCTGTGGCCGTTTGCGGTTCGGTACGCGGCGCATCAGATCAACCTTCACCCCAGGGTCTCCATGCCGGAGACCTCCCCAGCTTTGCTGTGGACGGGGAAGGTCGGCGATGCGTCTGCGCTCCGTGTCTTGGGATCTCGGGCGTTTGTTCGCGACTTGTCTGCGGACAAGCTGTCCCCTCGTGCTGCTCCCTGTGTCTTCCTTGGCTCCCCCCCTGACGCGCCAGGGTGGCAGTTCTACCACCCCACCTCTCGTCGTGTTCTGTCCTCCCAGGACGTCACGTTCGACGAGTCGGTCCCCTACTACTGTCTCTTCCCCTACCGCACTCCGTCCCTCCCCCCGCCACCGCTCTTCCTTGTGCCAGGTCCCCCTCCGGTAGACCCCCTCCCCCCTCCAGGGTCCTGCCCCTTCAGGTGTGTCCCAGGTAGACGCAGTCGAGCCTATCGAGGTTACTGGTGACTCTGGTGCTGGTGAGGGTGCTGAGCCTGGGGGTGCTGACTCTGGGGGTGCTGAGCGTGTGGGTGCTACGCCTGGGGGTGCTGGGCCTACGGGTGATACTAATGGGGGTGCTGAGCCTAGGGGTGCTGAGACTGGGGGTGCTGAGCTTGGGGGTGCTACGCATGGGGGTGTTGAGCTTGGGGGTGCTACGTCTGGAGGTACTGAGCCTCGAGGTGCCACGTGTGGAGCTGTTGAGCCTGGGGGTGCGGAGCCTGCGGCCGCTGGGCCTGCTCATGTGGCGTCTGGCGGTGCTGGGCCTGGAGGTTCTCCAGGTGCTTTGTCTCGGCCAGAGCCACTCTCTTCACAGGAGCTGCACGAGTGGTTTGCCCGGCGCTGGAGGCGTACTGTTGGAGGTGGAGCTTCTTTGACTACTAAGGGTGCTGGTGCCGCCGGTCCCGGAGGTGCTCGTCCTGGGGGTACTGGAGCCGCTGGGCCTGCGGGTACGACTGGAGCTGGAGCTGCTGAGGGTGTTGGTGCTGAGGCTACAGCTGTCAGTCCTGGCGGCAGTCCTGCTGGGGGTGCTGCTGGTGCTG